TTATTTGGATCCACAATTAATACCCACAGAAGCAAAAGTCATGAAATCAAATAAGAAACAATTCAAGTGTCCATCTAGGGAAAGACAGCTAAAAAAAGCTATGTTAGATTCACACAATGGAGTATTATTCATCACTAAAAAACAATCATGAATATGTGAAATATTCAATTGCATGGATGAAACTAGACTATCTTATGCTGCATGGTGTCAGTCACTCACAAAGCAACAATTATGGCATAATATAAAAAAATTAAGGAAAAGCGTACACACAGATAGAATCAACCCTAGAAGGTTAATAGGGATGAGAAAGGAGAAGGAGATGAGCAAAGTTGAACGTATCTTGACTGCACATTTGGTCTATTTCAGACTGAAAAATTTAACACAAATTTTCAATTTCCTCTTCTTTGATTTTGACTGTTGGTGCATATAATAGTCATATTAACACATCTTCTTTGTATGTGTATCCTACCATTCACAATACTGTACTTCAAGACAGACTTGAAATTGTCTTTTCAAGTATGCCTGCAACACCATTTGTTCTCTGTTTTTCATTCGTGGCAGGGTATAGCATGCGACTGTATGTTCCGTTTTTAAACAGACCCCAGATTTTGCACATTTTCTCTATTTAAGCATCATGTATCACGTTCAGCAGGCAGAAGACACCAAAAACTCCTACCACGCAACTATAGTATTTTTCAACTGGTTTCTACGCATTTGAAAGTTGAACAATGAATAAGGACAACAGAAGAATTAGTGTCTTTGAACTGCAGTGTTGGAAAACAGCAATGACTACAGTACAGACTGTCAAAAGAATAAATAAATCTGTTACGGGAGGAAGTGCAACTAGTGTGCTCCCTAGAGGCAAAAATAGAGAAAGCTTGTCTGCTATTGTCAGGAGGAGCTGGTCCTTGGGAAACGGTACCATGCTAGGAAAGGTGGAGCATTATCACAACAGAAGGAGACCCTCAAGAAGACAAGGTTTGAGATCTTGAGGATGGCGCAGGGTAGGGCAAGACTCCAATCAGTTGTTCCCAGGGTCACTGTGAGTTAGAGGCAGCTCGACAGCTCCTAACAACACTCACCACCTCTCAACAACATACAGCAAGCAAACGACTTTAAAAATGGGCAAAAAGCTTTATAGACAGATCAAAGATATACAAATAACCAGAAAGCACATTAGCCACTAACAAAATACAAATAAAAAACACAGTGAAATACCAACTCACCTGCATTAGAATGGCTACTTGAGAATGACAGAAAGGAGTTAAGGAGAATGTGAGGAAATCGTTGGGATGGTTGTGAAATGGAGCTCTGTGGCATAATCCAAAGGGGGTTGTGCTGCTTTGAATCCACGTTTGGCCATGAGGGAGAAGGATGGGCAACCTCTTCCTATGTGCTTTTATAGCCTCTGGAAAACACACTGGAGGGGCAGCTATGAATCAGTTCAGACTCAACAACAATGAGATTTGTTTGTTTTGCTTTCCCATGAAAACAGTGGGCTGTTCTTTATGCTAAACTTACAAGTTACAATAGGACCTAGACATTTCCATTTTTAAGAAAATACCCAGAAGACTTGAAAGCAGAGGAAAGAGATACTTTTATACTCACTTTCACTGCAGCACTATTCATAACTGCCAAAAATCAAAATGTCCATCAACAGATGCATGGATGAACAAAATGTCATATGTGTGATGGCTAACTCATTGCCTTTGCATCCATTCAGACTCATGGAAACCCTTAAGGACAGAGTGGAAATGCTCCACAGGGTGTCCAAGGATGGAATCTTCACAGAAACAGACCGCCAACTCCTCCTGCCCAGGAATGGCTGATAGAGTCAAACCACCAGCCTGCTGATTATCAGCCAAGTCCTTAGCCACGGGGCAACCAGCACTCCAATTAGTCAATCATGACAAAAAATTCTCATAAATGTTACCAGATAGGTAGAAGGATCTTCAGAACACTATGCTTGTCAGTAAACACAATGAAAATATAGCCAATGTCTCTGAAACACTTATGTAGGTATTGTTAAATGGAAACCTTATTTTGCCATGCAGATTTTTAATGAAAATGGAATAGTAAGACACACACACATACTGCAAGTAATTAAATCAGACACAAAAGGATAAAATACTGTATTATTCCATTTACATCCAAATAGATAAATAAATAGCAATCAACATTTATCACTGATTATCAAGGTGCATAGAGAAGAGCGCAGGAAATTAACACTTGAGAGGATCTCAGTTTTTGCTAAGGTGAATGGAAAACTTGAACATTTATAATGGTAACAGTTAAATAACATAGTGACAGTAATTCAGGTTACTGAAGTGTGTGCATGTATGTGTGTATAAATAAATCAATATATATCTATATTGTTGTTGAAGTATGTGCGTGTGTGTGTGTGTGTGTATATACATATTGTTGTTGTTGTATGCCGTCGAGTCACTTGCGACTCACACAGAGACCCTATGTACAACAGCCCTAAACTCTGCTCTGTCCTGTGCCAATCGCACTGTCTCTGATACATCCATCCTGATTACCCCAATCACTGAATCAATCCACCTCATAGAGGGCCTTCCCCTCCTGCGCTGTCCTGTCCCTCCACCCTACTAAGCATGATGTCGCTCTCCAAGGACCTGTCCCTCCTTCCAACATGTCCAATGTATGTTAGACGGAGCCTCAGAATCTTTGCCTCCAAGGAGCCGCCCGGTTTAACCCTTTCCAGGATGAATCTGTTTGTTTTCCTTGCAGTCCATGGTACCCTCAGCACTCTTCTCCAACTCCAAAGCGCAAAGGCATCAATTCTCCTTCTATCATCCCTTGTCATTGTCCAACTCTCTGATGCATAACAAGTGATTGCAAAGACCATGGCCTGTATCAGATGTACCTTAGTCTCCAGAGAGACACCATTGCTCTTCAGTACTTTGGAGAGGTCACTAACAGTAGACTTTCCCATCACAATACGTCTTTTAATTTCTATATAGCTTAAATCGGAAAAGATTAGCACATGTATTTTACACTCCACACATATACATATATGTATACACAAAGATAGTATAAGATGACATCAATACAACAAAAACAAAAAATGTAAATCAATGATTTACAGTATTTGAAAACCAGTTAGAGGGTTGGCTATGAATTAGTTCTGACTCGATGGCAATGAAAATGATGACAAAAAACCCCGGAAATTTGTGTTTCTTGGGCTGTATGTTTAGGTAAAAGAATGAGTATTTAGACCACACAGGGAGTAAAGAAGGAACTCTGGTAGCTCAGTGGTAAGGAGCTGTGCTGCCAGCTCAAAGACATGTAGTTTTAATTCACCAGCTGCTCAGTGGAAGAAAGATGGGTCATCTCCTCCCTCGCAATTTCCAGCCTCTTCAAACCTGCTGGAGGTTCAGGTAAGAGTTGGCCCCAACTCAACAGTATATAACAACAGGGAGTACATGGATATGTAAAAAATGTAATGCCAAAAATAAGTAAACTGAACTGCTGACACCCACAAAAAATTAATGCCACTCCTATGTAGTGCTAATGTAATGAAACAAAAATCACATTTGTAGTTCAGCAATGTGTAAAGGGACTTCTGAACAGAAATGGCTATGAAGCCTCTGATTTTTTAATATGAGGAGGGGGAGAATAACATAACTATTTCTATTTAAAATTCAACTTGGTGAGTTACAACTCTAAATATTAAAAAAAATGTAAGAATGCTAATAACACTGGAGCTAGGAGTAATTTTACAAATAACACATTTGATTAAGGTAATTCACTTTTTTTATATTTTTTTTAAATTTCATTATTTTTTGTGTGTACCGTCAAATCAGATCTGACTGGTACAGGAGGACACTGTTCCTCCTCCTCGAGCAGAGCATCTGGTGGATTTAAACTGTGCACCTCTGAACTTGCAGTTGCAGCTTCTTGCCACTAGGCCACCAGAGCTCGCCGATAATTCACTTTTTAAAAATATATACAGTTGCTGTTAAGCTATATATTTTTCCTAGCTTTGGTACATATATTCTATATTACTACTTCTAGCTTAAAAAGAAACACATTTTCTAGTCAAATTAAAGACGCTCTACACATTTTAAAGATGTCACACACTTATCATACTAAGCTTCCTCATGTTTAAATTTATTCCCTAAAAGTTTCAAAATTCACATTTTTTAAAGCAAACGTACATTGTATGGGAAATGAATCTGCGCTGTAAAATATTCCCCTAAACCACAAAGAAATATTTTAGTGGTGGCATTTTGTTTTGTTTTGTTTTTTAAAGGGTACTTTGTAAAAATAGTTGCAACAAAAGATGAGGCAGTTTCTGCAAGACTATAATGCGCTGACTCGCTGGGATCTAATTAAGTATTTTGATTAACTTCATCACACACCCCTCCCACGCTGCCATTCTTCCCAGAAGCTGCAATTCTGGCATAAGGAAGGAATATGCATGCCTTTTGCTCCGACAAGTCTCCAATAAGAGTTTCAATGGCAGAAACTGGTGCTGAACCACCCGCATCCAATCCTGTAGAGATTCTGCCTGGACATCTTTTGATCATGAAGACACATGATGTGTGTGTGTGTGTGTGTGTGTGTGTGTGTGTGTGTGTGTGAGAGAGAGAGAGAGAGAGATCCTGAAGATACAGGGGGGTGTGTGTGGGTGTGTGTGATCCTGAAGACACAAGGGGGTGTGTGTGTGTGTGTGTACACCTTTTGATCCTGAAGACGGGGGGGGGGGTGGGTGCGGGGGGGGGTGTGTGTTGTAATTTGTTCGGCCACATCAGACTTCAGCTTTGATGAACTACAATTGGACATTCTTCGACAGTCAGGTTTAACCGACAAAGATAAGTCCTCACGATGTGCCTCTGATTCCTTGAAAATTTCTTCCTGGAATTCGGATACACAGGGTCCTAACTGCATGTACTAAGTTCCAAACTCATGTTTTCTAGCTTTTCGTTTGTGTTCAACGCCTGAAACTACTCAAGGAGGAGGCTTCTATTCCCCACCACTGTATCCTTGTCTGCCCAGCGGTACAGAAAACAAAGGCGAGCCAGGGCGGCGCAGCCTGGAGGGGGTGGGACCCGGGCATTTGGACTCAGACCCTGAGCTGCCAGGAGGCCCCGGGGACTCTGCGCTTCCGACGCTGCCGGTCTGGAAACCACACTTTGCCTTCAAATCATGCATATGATTTTACCTGTCAATGCACCGAGACACCTAGGTCCAGTACACCAAGTGCGCTGTCCAGACCCCGGCGGTCCTCAAAGCAGCTGGGAACCAGGAGGGCAAGGGGGTGGGTTGGGCACCCGGAGAAAGTGGCAGCGGCGAACAAGGATAGCAGCGGCGGCAGGGGAGCCGGGGTGGAGGCTCCTGGCACAGACCGGCTGGAGCACGGCGCAGGACAGCAAGATCAGCCTCCCCCAGCTCCGCGGACAACTGCCGCTACTGGACCACACCGGACGTTGACAGGCGCAACACCCACCTCCCGACGGCGCTGAGACACAACCAAACATGGCTGGTGGGCCGGGAGCCGCACTTCCGCTTCCGGTTTCTGGGCCCGTCCTGGCATAGAGGTCCGATGACGTTAACGGAGCCAGTGGCGCCACCTAGTGGCCGTGGGAGTTCAGTAGTTTACCCTGGAGTTTAACATCTGTCAAGATTCTTTTCTCTATAGAGAAAACTCTGTTGTTAGGTGCAACTCATGGTGTATGAATAACAGATTTCAACGTTGCCCTATGTTTTCTAAACTGTGAGCTGGTGATGGTGGTGATGGTGGTGCTTTGTGGCGTCGACTCGCTTGCGACTCATAGAGACCCTTTGTACAACAGCTCCAAACTCTATCCTGTGTTAACCTTCTTGTCTGTGACACCCCCACCCCCATTACTCTTGTCACTGAACCAATCCATCTCACGAGGGTCTTCCTCCCTTGCACTGTCCCTCCACCCTTCCCAGTATGATGTCCTTCTCCAAGGACTGGTCCCTCCTTGCAACATGCCTAAAGTATGCCAGACAAAGCTTCAGAATCCTTCTTGCCTGGTTTCATCTTCTCCAGAACGAAGCTGTTTGTTCTCCTATCAGTCCATGGTATATTCGATACTCTTCTCTAACACCACAGCTCAAAAGTATCAATTCTCCTATCATCCCTAGTCATTGTCCAGCTTTTGAATGCATAACAAGTAATTGCTGGATCAGGCACGCCTTAGTCTCCAGACTGACATTACTTTCCAGCACTCCAGAGAGGTCCCTGACACCAGACTTTCCTAGTGCAATTCGTCTTTTGATTTTATGGCTGCTGGTACCAAGAGTGCTGATTGTGGAGCCAAGAAAACTAAAGCTGTTAACAATCTCAATTTCTTCACCATCTATTATGATGCTGTCAGTTGGCCCAGTGGTGGAAATCTTTGTTTTCTCGATGAGCTTCGATTCATATTGAAGGATGCAGTCCTTAAACTTCTGCAGCAAGCGCTTCAGGTCCTCCTCACTTTCAGCAAGCAAGGTTGTGTCATCTGCATAACGAGATTGCTGATGAGTCTTCCTCCAATTCTGACACCACATTCCTCTTCATAGAGCTCAACCTTCCGGATGATCTGTTCTCCAAACAGATTCAAAAGGTACGGAGAAAGGACACATCTCAGGTGTACACCCTTCCTGATTTTGAACAATGTAATATTTCCTTGCTCTGTTGTGATGACTGCCTCCTGGTTCAAGTATAGGTTCCTCATAAGTGCAACCAAGTGTTCTGGAATTCCTATTCTTCCCAAAATTAGCCACAGTTGCTGGTAGATACCTGCAAGTCAGTTGACTCACACCAACCTAAATAGAGCAGAATGAAACCCTGCCTCGACCTGCATTGGCCACACAATCATTCTATTGTTGGGCACTTGGGCTTCTTTCAACTCCTTACTATTATAAATTTTGTTCTTTTGTACAGTAGAATTGGAATCTGCTCAGCTGACCCTTCAGAGGCAATAAATTGCCCAGGGGGAAAATGCCCATTTTTCACTTGTGGAGCAGCTGATGGATTCTAACCTCTCTATGACCCTCCACTTTTTACAGCATGATGTGTGCCTACAACGATTAGTTCCTCCTAATAATATGTTCTATGTGAATGAAATTAAGTTTCAATATATTTGCCTCTAAGGCACACTCTGATTACACTTCTTTGAGGATAGGTTTATTTGCTTGGCAATCCATGGGCTGTACTATTTTATGCCACATTTCAAATGCATCAATTCTTCTTTGGGTTTCCATATTCATTGTTCAATTTTCACATGCATAGAAAAGACTGAAAATATCATTGCTCACAATTATGAGATATCATCTCACCCCAGTAAGAATAGCAAAATTTAACAGAACAGCAAATAACAAATGCTGGTGAGGTTGTGGAGAAACTGATACCCTTATTCACTGTTGGTGGGAGTGTAAAATGGTGCAACCACTATGGAAGGCAGTATAGTGTTTTCTTTAAAAGTTGCAAATAGAAATACCATTTGACCCAGCAATTCCACTACTGGTAATTCACCCTAAAGAAACTATAACAGCCACCCAAGCAGATATATGCACACCCATGTTTATTGTGGCTTTGTTCGCAATAGCAAAGAGTTGGAAACAACCCAATTGCCCATCAAACAAACAAATGGATAAAGAAGCTCTGGTAGAGTCACGTGATGGAATGCTATGTGGCATTGAAAAACAAGGACCTCATGAAATATTATTCAAAATGAGTGACCTTGGAGGACATTACGCAGAGTGAAATATCTCAGTCACAAAAGGACAAATATTGCATAGAACCACTGTTGTAAAACAGGACTGGCATTGGGGTTGAGGGAAGACAGAAGGAGGGGATGAATGATGTATGCTGCATTGAAACAGATTAGGGAAAGAACTGTTTAAAAGGAATATATGATTGGGTATTATTGTCATGACAGAAGTCCATAATGAAGGCTGCACAGTGGAATGGACTTGAGGGGAGGGATTATTTAATAATGAAAGAGTTTTACTTTTCAAGAAGAGTGAATTGGAGGGGAGGAGTGGGCAAGGAGAAAAGTGCAATAATGAATGAATGGAAACCCTAAGTCTCTGTAAACTTTCGTTAAAATTAATTAAAAAAGAGAAAGAAAATATCATTGCTCTATGAAGATGGTGCCAAAAGCAAAGAAGGAAGCCCCTGCCCCTCCAAAACTGAAGCTAAAGCAAAGCCATTAAGGGCCAAGAAGGCATCCTGAAGGGCATCCACAGCCACAAAAAAGAAGATTTGCACATCACCCACCTTCTGGAAGCCTAAGATACTGAGACTCTAAAGGTAGCCTAAATACCCCCAGAAAAGCACCCCCAGGAGAAATAAGCTTGACCACTATGCCATCATCAAGTTTCCCCTGACCCCTGAATCAGCCATGAAGAAGATAGAAGATAACAACACACTTGTGTTCATTGTGGATGTCTAGGCCAACAAGCACCAATTTAAATGAGTTGTAAGAAAGCTCTATGACATTGATGTGGGTGAGGGTGCAGCCGGAGTGCTCTTTGGAGGCAAGAATGATGAGGCTTTGCCTCACATAATTTGGGCATGTTGCTAGGCAGAGCTGTTCCTTGGAGAAGAACATGATGTCTGGAAGAGTGAAGGGTAAGTGAAGGAGAAGCAGACCCTCAAACAGGTAGATTGACATGGTGACTGCCACAACGGGTTCTTGAAAAGTGAGGATGGTTGCAGGAGAGAACAGGGTTCAGAGTTTTTGTTCATGGCATCATACTCAATTCAATGGCATCTAACAACAGCAACAATAAGATGGGTATGGGTAACAAGCTGACAAGAGATGGACTGTGATATTTAAGGTTGTGTTTCAGCTTGACTGACTATGATTCTCTGGTTTGACAGCAGTAATGTGGTCAATCCTATGATGAAGTTTGAAGTGCAATAACCATTGTCTTGATGGGATCTGCTATGAGAGGCCAATTCTTTGAGGGAGAGTTTCAAGGAGGGTGGGAATGACCTGTATTAAGTATTTAAGAATGTCTAGAGGAGCAAACTTGTGTTTGCTCTGCTTCAATTCTACTTCTGGTTGACTCCCCCATTGGTTACTTAGACCAACAGCCTACATTAGCCACCAACTTTGGATTCAGCAGCCCCTACAGCAATTGAAGAATCTTTGCTTATGAGCTGCATACATGGGATGTGCAAGCTTCTGGTTGCAAAAGTGTAGTTTATAGAGGATATATCAATCTCTATATATGTATTTTCATTCCTTGGTTTATCATTAAAAGAAGAGCATGGTCACTGCAGATCTTTGCTTTGACTATTGCTTCTAATATTTGTCACATAATAACTTTGCATTCTCTCGGACCAAATTCCCTTATAGAGTAATAGATAAGATGTTATCTCCCTTACAGAGATTTCTTAGTAGGATTGTGACTATGGTAAGGGAGTTAGTATATATGTTTTATTTGTTTCTTGCTGAGCGTGGGGTTTGCTTGCTGTTCTTTTCTACTTTTTGGAGAAGGATTTTATTTTTCTCTTCCATTTTTGATATGTTTTCTTATAGCTATGAACTGCTTTCTGGGTATTGTTGTCTCTCAAATGTTTGCTGTGCTCAGTTTTTATTCTCATTTCTTTCAAGAAGCTTTTAAATGGATTTTTTTTAATTCCTGCAATTATTCAACAGTGGTCAAGCAAGGTGCTATTAAACTTCCAAGTGCACTATTTTTCCTGCTATAACTTCTTGTGGTTATTTCTATTTTATGGCATTGTGACCCAAGAATATGATTTTATCAGGATTGGTGGAAGATCTATCAACAATCTGCGTTATGCAGATGACACAACCCTGCTTGCTGAAAATGAGAAGGACCTGAAGCACTTGCTGCAGAGGGTCAGGGACTGCAGCCTCCAACATGGATTGAGGCTCAATGTCAAGAAGGCAAAGATTCTCACCACTGGACCAATTGGCAGCATCAGGATGGATGGTGAAGAGATTGAGATTGTTCACAGCTTTAGTCTGCTTGGCTCCACAATCAATTCTCTTGGCACCAGGAAATAAAAAGGCGTATTGAGATGGGAAAGTCTGCTGTTAGGGACCTCTCTAAAGTACTGAAGAGCAATGGTGTCTCTCTGGAGACTAAAGTGTGTCTGATACAGGCCATGGTCTTTGCAATCACATGTTATGTATCAGAGAGTTGAACAGTGACTAGGGAGGATAGAAGGAGAATTGATGCCTTTGAGCTTTGGTGTTGGAGAAGAGTATTGAGGGTACCACGGACTGCTAAGAAAACAAACAGATTCATCTTGGAGAGCATTAAGCCGGGCTGCTCCTTGGAGGCAAGGATTCTGAGGCCTCGTCTGACATACTTTGGTCATGTTGTAAGGAGAGGCCGGTCCTTGGAGAGGACATCATGCTTGGGAGGGTGGCGGGCAGGTGCAGGAGGGGAAGGCCCTCTAGGAGATGGATTGATTCGGTGACTTGGGTAATTGGGATGGGTGTGTCGGAGACAGTGAGATTGGCACAGGACAGAACAGAGTTTAGGGCTGTTGTACATAGGGTCACTATGAGTCGCAAGTGACTCGACTGCACATAACAACAACAAATGGTTTTTACATTTATCGAGACGTGCCTGGTGGTCTAACATATGGTCCATTCATAAGATCATTCCATATGCATTGTTATGTACTTTTGAGTCAGAATCAACCTGTAGCTGACACTCCAGCAGGTTTTCAATGACATTAAATCACACTGGAGGATATCTCCCATCTTTCTTCCATGGAATAGCTGGTAGACTTGATCCGTGTGTCTTCATGTTGGCACTGCAGCTCCTTACCAATAGGCTATCTGGGCTCCCCAGTGCTCCATCTACAAATATAAGAACGTCTATCCAGCTTGTGTTAGGTGAAATAGTGTATATATGTCTATGAATTCAAGTTGGTTAATTGTGGAGTTTTCAATTAAAATGGTATGTTTCAGTGAAAACTTTGCTAATACTATTCTGGTATTATCTTTTTTTTCAATTCTGTTAATATTTCTTTTGTCCCTTTTGCAGCTTTATAATTTGGTGCATATACATTAGGGTACTATTGATCACTTAATCATTATATTCTACTTCTTTGTCTCTTAGGCTTATTTGTAACCTGAAGTCTATTCACTGGTTTTGTCTGTTGTTGTTATGTGCCGTCAAGCCGCTTGTGACTCATAGCAACCCTATGTACAACAGCCCTAACCCTTCTATCCCTTGTCAATCTTATTGTGTCTGACACACCTATCCTCATTACCCCCTTGACAGAATCAATCCATCTCATCAAGAGTATTCCTCTCCTGTGCTGTCCCTCCACTCTCCCATGCATGACATCTCACTCCAGGGACTGCTCCTGCCTTGCATCATGTCCAAAGTAAGTCAGACGGAGCTTCAGAATCCTTGCCTCCAAGGAGGAGCCAGGCTTCACCCTCTACAGAACAAACTTGTTTGTTCTCTTATCAGTCCATGGTATATTCAATACTCTTCTCTGGCACCAAAGCTCAAAGGCATCACCTCTCCTTCTGTCATCCCTTGTCATTGTCCAGGTCTCTGATGCATAGCAAATAATTACAAAGACCATGTCCTATATCAGGCACACCTTAATCTCCAGACTGATATCATTTGCTCCTCAGTACCATGGAGAGGTCTCTGACAGCTGACTTTCCCAGTGCAATTCATCTTTTTATTTCCTGGCTGTTGGTACCAAGAGTGTTGATTGTAGAGCCAAGCAAACTGAAGCTGTCAACAATCTCAATCTCTTCATTAGAAGTTAATAATACCATTTCTACTTTCTTTTTAAGCTGCCATTTGCTTGGTATATTTTTTCACCCTGATTTTTATTGTATCTTTATCTTCCTTTCTTAGGATTAGGGTGGGATACAATTCCCACCTTCCCAGAGGCTTATATAAGCTCAGTGAGCCTGGGTGCAAGTTTTCCCTTTGGGATGCCTGCTTTCCAGCTGCACTACAATTCAGTCATGTGAGTCTTTCCTCATGTGATACTGATAGGCCTCAGTCTCTGTAAAGCCTTCCACCAAACCACCTAACCCAAGGGACACAGAGGAGTGATGACACTGAACAAAGGAGGGACTGCTCATGGAGTTATATAGCTAATCAAACACTTAGGACACTGTTGACTCTACACTTCTTGTAACTGGTCTGCTACTAATCTGAGCAGAATGAATTATGACTACAACTGGTGTCAGAGTAGTGGGATTCATCAGAAAGGTCAGACTGTCTGTAACAAGTGGCTTTGGAGAAAAAGGGATGAACTAGAGAATGAGAAACCTCTGGTCTCTGGATGGGATAAGAAACAAGTATGGATTAATTCAGTTATTATGTTGCAGCCAATTACCCAAGGCAAAAGTTACTCATGGGATATGAAGTTAGTAGACCGAACTCCTGAGAAGCTGGTTAATTGGATGCACAGAGAAATATAGAATGATGAACAAAGAGCAAGACTTAGAATTCCTTGATTTCTGCTATCAAGTAGTGGTAGCAATTGCAAGAGAAAAGAATGTAGGAACTGAAAAGTTGACATCAGGGACAGTCATGCCCCTTAACCTCAGGATCTATCTGGAAAGAAAAAAATGGTGTAGGAGCAACCAGAAAAAAAATCCTCTGTACTGTGGTCCCCAAAACAGTAGTCTAGGAGACAAATGGGCAGGATCAAGAAACTGCTGTAAGCAGGAGATATGACATGTTGTTGTTGTTGTTATGTGCCGTCGAGTCGTTTCCGACTTATAGCGACCCTATGCACAACAGCCCTAAACCCTGCTCCATCCTGCACCAACCGCACCGCCTCTGACACACCCATCCCGATTACCCCAGTCACTGAATCGATCCATCTCATAGAGGGTCTTCCCCTCCTGCGTTGTCCCTCCACACTCCCAAGCATGATGTCCCTCTCCAAGGACCCGTCCCTCCTGGCAACAT